TAACAGCGTATTAAAAATGCAGCACTCTGGTGTCTCATTACTGCGCACCGGGTGGACGTCTCACAGCTAGGCTTGAAATAAACAACTGTTGGCAAACTTCTACCCTCTATTAGCTTATTCTTCAATTCATTTTTGTTATCCAGTTACGTTACAGACCACAATACAATGAAATCACAATTATCCAGCAAGGCAATCTACATTTACTCTCAATATGGGAAGGACTAAAGCCAATGCTTTATTCTATAGTAATATTAAAGTAACAATACTAATAGCTAATCCATGTTCTAAGGCACATCACCACAAGGTAGTTCAGAGCAGAAATTCAAGTCATTTTGCTTTTATATCTGAGAGTCAGCCCTTGCAAAGATGCGGTATTTCACCTACTGTATTTTTTGTAATACTACAGCCTAGCCTGCCTGCCAAATGCCTCTCTATTCACCTTGTGATATGCTGCAGGCAACTTATACCCTATTTCGATCATTTCCTGTTAGCAGAGAAGTGTAGATTTTCACAAGTTATAGGTAATTTGCTAGATAACTTATGTTGTATTCAGAAATATACTAGGTGTGCAGTAAAATATACAGTGTATTATACAGCGCATACAGTATGTGCCAGAATATATAGAATCTACACTGCCAGAGAGACTGAGAAAGCAGGATCCTTTGTTGGTGATGTATTCCTGAGGTTTATGTGACATTTGAAGTGCCAGTTTGATGCTGCATCTTGAAGTATTTGATATTCATGTTTTCCTAGCTATTCTGAACAGCAGCAATTCTTCCAGCTTCCTCCTCCTACTTCCTTCCCATGAGTTCCCATGTTAACTTGCCGTCAGCTAGAAGACTTTTGCAGATGAGGAAGAAGCTCGAGTAGTCGGGAGGCACTGTTACAGACCCTCCTAAAAGTCCTGGGTGGAAGGAAGGTCATCTAGTCCAGTGTCCCATTTAGAGTAATATTATAGCCAACACCAGATATGGGCAGTCATGGCTTTGTCAAGTCAGGCCTTGAAAATCTCCAGGAACGGAGAGGCCATTAGCTCACATGGAAGATCTGCTTCAGTACGGCCCTACCCTCCAAGTGAAATAATTTTTTCCTCATGTCAAATCAACCACTGAAGCTGCAATCTGTTATTACCCTTCATTATAATCAACTCTCATTTCCAAGAAAATTTTGGCTCTGCTCAGTAACTCCCCTTCAAGTAGTTGTAGCCCACTACTAAGATTCCTCTTTAGCCTCCTCTTTGCCAGATGACAGAGGCCCAGCTCCCTCCACATCTCTGCAGAGACGTGCTCTACATCCCTGGAGTCCTGGCAGCTCCCTGCTAGCCCCTCCTCTCCCTTAAACAGGAGAGCCCAGAACTGGATCCAGTATTCCTTGTGGCCTCATATGCACTAATTAGAAGGCTCTGTAATATCTATGAGAATATATGATTTATAACAACTACCAGCTTCATCCTGCAGATTTTTACTTTGAGTAAGTAAATGAAACAACTGCACCCTTAACATGGGCTCAAACACTTTCTCATTACCAGATGAAACATTAATGGAAACGTCAGCATTTTCACAAAAAAGCCATGCCAGCTTTCAACTTACGCATGTCTGACATGGTGTTTGGCAATTATTTAAGAGTGTTTAAGGGGGGAAAAAAAAAAGAAAAAGGAAAGAAAAAAGGCAAGACTCCAGTTCAGTAACAGGTCATCATACCTGGACTCCTGCCAGAAGTAAAACAAACATGAAGCTCACTAAGCCACAAAAATGGCTTATCTAAAAGATAAGACTGAAGTATAATTGACGAGGTTAGCACTAATCCCAGTCAAAGGAAAAAAGTTAGCTGTCCTCTTCTGTTGTGGAATAAGAGGACTAGGTACATTACTAGTCAATTTTAAAGCAATTCAGAAGAATAAAAACACCTAAGTTCCAAACTACAGGTGCTTTGTCCAAAAACTGCCAAATAAATCAGCTTTCAATTGCAATGTGAATCAATATTTTACAATATTAATGGCTACTTATTCTGCATAATGGAACAACTGTTTTAAAAAGTTATCCGAGAGGCCCGAGTTCTTTTGAACATCTCAAAAGCTTGTGTTCCAGTACTTGGCAATGATAGAGCAAGGCAAATTGGGTGCAATGAAAAACTGCAGAATAATTAGTCCCAGGCATCCATGATTCTTTGGTCTTGCTTTCTGGGCAAGATTATATTTCAGTTAATAAAACTGATGCTTCTGAAAAAAAAAAATACTCACTTCAACAGATTAAATAGGAATATGCAAACCATGGTCTACATGACAGCCACAGCTACCCCTTCATAATGAAGTAAGTGGCTGAGATAAATGTCCTTTTTAATGAACTAAAGCTAAGAACAGAAATAGAGAATGGAGAAGCCGCTGGTACCCAGTATTAGCATTCAGAGCAGAGTCAGCATGACTCAGTGTACCACTCCTGCCATGAGAGGGCTGATGAGTTCATTAAGCTGTCACGCAAGTGGAGATCTCTCAAGATTACACCACAGTGGGTTTACAACTATGTCAGTTAAATCACATTTACTGGCCTAATCCCTTGTGTTCACAGGACAGGAGTGAACGTTGCCTACATTGCAGTCCTCTTCAGGTCACCAGCTGCTGGTGCTGCCTGCAACAACAGTCTCAGCTCACCACTGAGCTTGGATTTCAGAGTGCTGCTTAGGTATTTCAATTTGAAAGCAATTAGTCCTCTACTTCTATTTTCATATTATTATTCTAAGCAGACAAGGAAGACTTTAATAAAATACGTTATGGCTTGTCAGAGGTAATCGCACTTGCAGCAGAACTTGTTTGCCACCATGGCTTTAGATACATTTTTGTTTTAAAAGACATTTTTGATCGTCCCCCTAACAATCGATCGGCTTTGCTTCGTGAACAGAAGAGTTGATTTCTGCCCTCACCTTGCCAATAAGCACATGAGCAGTTCCAGTTCTTCTGTTTTAAAGTGCCTACGCTACCTGTTCACCTTCAACCATCCCCTTCCTGCTCACTTTTAGTCACATAATCCTGGCTCCCCCCAGCTTTGCAGTCAGGCCTTTATAAGCAGCTTATACTATTATGCATATCCCTGGAAAAAGGAGTAGCTGTGTGCTGCAAAGGGATGCCTGACTGTCAGGTCAGCAGAAGCCTGGGAGTGAGCTGGGAACATCCTGTGCTTGCAGAGAAAGAGCCCCAGGTTTCAGTTCAGCCAGGGAAGAAGACGGAGACTGCAAGAAGAGATGCTGACAGTGAGGTTTCTCTACCTCCCCATGAAGTTCCTCCAGCAGGGGCTGCTGGAGCTGCCTGCCCAGTAGCGGCAAAATCTGGCTGGAGATCCAGAAGATCACTGGATGGTTTGGAAGAGCTGCCAAGGAAAGGAAGATAGGTATTAATTACTGGAGAAATTTGTCCATTTTAATCAAGTCAAAACCAAAAATCAAGACTGGATTGTATGAATTACTCTGATGAAACAAATTGAGACAGACTGTTTTTCAGGCCTTGGGATTAGAGCAGTGGCCATAAAGACCCCTGCTGCAATAAATGCCAAGAATATATTACACCCCAGGATGGGACCATAACTTACTTCCATTACTTGATAACAACATTGTAACAGATCTATGAAACTTTAACAAGCCTCCAAAACCAACCAAACAAAAAAAGCCCCCAGACTGAAAACCAACATCCCAGGTCCCTAAGAATAGAGCAAATAATTGCTGTAACTGAAAACAGCTCCATTCTACTCCAGTCTTTCATTGTGCCATGTTTGAAAGCAAGAAACATGCATTTCCTTACAATAAATAGGAATTGGGTAGAATAGAGTTGCTGAAACTTCTATGGCTCAAGTCAGCCAGATATTTGCTTAGGAAACAAGGTTTTGTTCACTTAGAACATTTAAATAATAAACAGTAGAAGCTCTTTCTTCAGTGAAGTACTTCATCCAACATTTAACTGAAGTTAGTCACATCTTCAGACTTCTGGTTCAAGCTTGAACCTTTTAGATGTTCAGAATTCTTTAATTTCTGCTCGCTACAATGAGCAACAGTGTTTGTTCTGGTTTTGACTTGAAAGTAAGGTTCAGATTCTCTCATTGGTCAAATGTGTATCTTTCACTTTAGCCTTCAAAAGCGCATTATTTTTGTGCTTCACTAACTGTTCTGAACAGCGAGAGAAAGGACTCTTAATTCAGCAGTTTTAGAAACAGAATACTGAAGGTCTGCAAAGACTACTTTGGATTTGCACATTACTTCAGTCTATTGAATTAGAAGTTCTTGCTGGGTATGGTACACCACCACTGCTACACTGAAAGCAAATCAGAGTAGCTACAATTTTTTTTCTTTTGTTAGAGCTTATTTGTGATCTATACTGGCAGGATAACATAGTCCATTCAAAACCGATGTACACTACCTGGTAAAGTAAGCAAAATCTTGCAGGCAAGCCTCCTGTTACAAGTGTGACTTGAGGCTCTACATCGAACTCAGTAACTCAGATATGCTTTTTCACTTACCTGACTGGAGCAGCTGTAGATGAAGTTGCAAAAAGATCAACTGGAGGAGATGTATCAATAGTTTTTGCTGGAGTAGAACTAGGAGATGTAACAGTTGTGGCTGGAGAAGACTGGAGAAATATTTTAAATATACATTAATTATACCAGCATTTCTCCACAAACAACTCATGCACAGATTCACACACTTTAAAAATCCAGTTTTGAGGTCTTATTGTGAGCTATTCTCTGCTTTAAAGAATCTAAGAAAGACTGAGGTCAGTTTTCAGAGGGCAGTAGAGTTGAGAAACTCAAGGTGACTCCACCTTGCAATGCCTGGCTCAAGAAGAAATGCCTATGGCATGCATCCAGAGCATCTCAAACACCAGCATCCAGTCTCAGGAGCTTTAGTCCCTTGGGTTCAAGACTCACCCAACATCTAGGCAACTAACTTGGAGATTTTTGATCTGGAGTTGCCTTGCCTGCCTATTAAAATCACTATTAGAATCACAGAATGGTTTGGGTTGGAAGGGACCTTAAAGCTCACCCAGTCCAACCCCTGCCATGAGCAGGGACACCTCCACCAGCCCAGGCTGCTCAAAGCCCCGTCCAACCTGGCCTTGAACACTGCCAGGGAGGGGGCATCTACACCTTTTCTGGGCAATCAGGGTAACTAACAGTTCCCATGTATCAAAGGACTCTCAGCAAGTTCCAAGGAAATAGTTTGCTCCCCAGCAAACTCCCTCCTCTTAGTTTTAAGACCATTCTGGAGATGGGAGGAACAAAGTATGTTTGTGGGTTTGTTTCGACATCTGTCAGACCCTTCCTTTTGTTCAATGAATGAAATATCTGTTGGTCCCCAACAGCACCTTAGAAACCTAATCACAGAAATGGCAGGAGAAGAGAAATGGTTAGAAACTAAATTACAAAGTGTGTACATAAACCTTCAGGCTGAAAGGAATTTAAGAGCAAACACCAGTGCTGTAAAGTCCTGGGCAAGATATAAGAGACAGCTCAGCCCATGATTTTGCTTCATTAGCTCATCCAGTTTCAGATAAGGACATCTTGACTACGGCAAGGACAGACAATCACAAGAGTATATTGCAACTCTTCTGTGCACTTGATGTCTCACGTTACCTTGAAGACTGTCAATTTAATTCTAAAAGATACTACGAGCTTTGTTACAGCATCTCACATGTTAGACATCCTTTCCCTAATGAGCAAGGATGTGTTTAGTACAAGTCTTGTGTTTAGTACTGTTTGCCATTCTGACCACTTTCAAGAAAGAAAAAGAATGGCAGATCTGAAGCGACTTTCTTCTGAGATCTACTACTGTCATGCCATCATCACAACTCTAGCAGATATGTCTACCTTTTATGCTTTCACAAAGCATGACCATCAAATTCTGGCAAAGCTGCTTAGCATCCTGCACTGGTACAAGAACTACAGCCCTCCAGATCAGTGAAGTGCTTTTATGGGGCCAACAGGGCCCATAAAAAAGATGCAATTTTGTCAATTAGGTAGGGCATGTAGCAAAGTTTAAAAAAGCAGATTAGGAGGTAGAAATGTAACTCTTTATGCCCTTAAAATGTTCTGAAGTATATTACCTGAACAAGAATTAACTAGCACAGCAATTTACAGTATTTACCTTGCTCAGAGGAGAAGGAGCCCCAGATCTAGGGGGAAAAAAAGGGGGTTATCAGACAAGTACACTTCTGGAAATTGGGATTTTGGTCATCAAATCTCATGCAAAAAGACCAAAAGCTAAGCATGTCAGCTTTCTGAAGAGCTCTACAATCACATGCTCTCCCCATTTCTCAAGCTTTCATGTGTCACTTTAGACAAGGAATGCAAATTCTTACTTCAAAGCTTAAATGAATCTTTTAAGCTAACTGGCATCACAGGATTATGCTGCCTTTTAAATAAGCTCTACTAAATGGAGGAAAGGCAGAGATGCATGCTTGCATTAGGGCCCTACAGAAGCCAGTAGGAACGGGTTACTGGGGTGAGATGTTGGCATATTATCAAATCATGCAACAGCAGCAGACCAATATGGAAGCAGTTATCTAACAAGTCTTCTGAAGATGTGTCAGCAAACTTTCAAAGTCAACCGTTCTTTTACAGAAAGTCAGTTACTGTAAAACAGTGATATTTAAAAGTATGGAAACAGTTAGTTGGAAAGTCCAAGCTGAAAGTTCTCTCATCATGCAAGAAAATCACACTAACCAATAGAGCCTTAATTGTAAGTTAAAACGTACCTCAGTGCAATATTTTACTTTCATTATTATGAGGTATGAAAATACTACTACGTGTTTTTAGTGCTGCTTTGATCTAAGATATGAAAGGAGGAGTTGAAGCTAAAACTGCACCAGTATTGAACTAGCATCCATCCTATAGGTTACTTGAATTGGATAAGTCCTAGAAACTGTAGAACTGATTAGAAAATCTGAAGCTAAGACAGAAATTACTAAAAATAACTTAATGACTATACACAAAATGCAAGCAACAGTTTAGGTACAATTTAAAGGAGATATCTATTTATAATTGCCCATGCCATCTTAAAAAAATATAACCATGCCTGCATGCAGTGATATGTAAACATATATACTTACCCTTCGCTAAATTGCAAGGAAAGCAACAGTGAAAGAGAAAACACAGGTTTAGCTTAATCCTTCCTAGACTTAGCCATGACAAGTATCTAGTAAGAAGATGCAAAGCCATTAGAAAATAAATCAATTTTGACGATCAAAGCCTTAGCAGCATAGAAAAACAGTTACTTCGAGGAGTTTTCCATAGTTACTTTTACTTCATTTTGGGAAGTGTCTAGTTGTTCAGTGTGTCACTTACCCCCACCCCCTAGTAAGAAAAAAAGCTGCCATTAAGACTATTTTGTAAGGGAAAGAAAAAGCCTAGTCTCAACACAGCTCATTTTCCAGATAAGTGGCAAAAGCAGGCTGGGGGAGGCAAACCTAAATGGCAGCTAGTCTCACACAGTTACAATTTTGCCTTGATACAAAATACAACATATACCTACTTGTTGCCAGGTTTTTTTCCTTCCAATGAGTTTAAATGTTGCTCAAGAGTCTCCATGAGACTGCTAGGAGCCTTGAAAGCAAAGAGAAAGATACACTTCAGGATACACTTCTGAACACATTGCATTGACCTAATAATATTTTAAAAACCAGCACCAATTTCCCTGAAGTCCACCATCTGGATGTTCATAGAATTGTAGAGATCCATAGAATTATTTGGTTGGAGAAGACCTTTAAGACCAGTGAGACCAACCATAACCTGTCCACTACAAAACCATTTCCCTAAGCACCTCATCTACCTGTCTTAAATATTTTCAGGTATGCTGCTATTTCATTTACACCAATGTGAAAATAGTGGATTTCCACGCTTAAAAGTATTCAGGCAAAGACAGCTTTTAAAAGGTGAGTGTCCAAACCTGCAGAGAGAACATTTACCCCTACTAAACAATGCCTGAAGCCTAAATGCAGGATGTGCAGCTGATCATGCTTTGAGTCACTGTTAAACATTGACAGCAGCGCAGGCATTCACAGGGTTAATTTTTAGAGTAATAGGTTGAAGGTCATCCTTTCAGTTTTGCTTTTAGTCAGACCTCCAACACCTCTCTCATGACAAGAGGGTTAGATAATACTTGCAGTTTAACAAAATCAACTAAAAGTCCTTCCCCACACCCTCAAAAGCAGTACCTTCGGTTCAAGACTCCCAACATCACAAAACCTTATTGCTGCGTCCTCTCAAAAGGGTGGCCAGGCACAGTTAACTGAGCCCAGCAGCTAAATGAAAACTGGGACAGATTACTACTCTGGACAAAAAACAAAGCTTTTTCAAGCCTCCGTTATGTTAGGTTTTATTTTAAGTAACATCTTTGTGGTCAGGCAACACCCCCAGGCACACACTTGCTGTAGCAGTGGTAGATAGGAAAAGTAGCCATAAATGCAAGTGACAGTGTGCTTAGCTACTCCAGTGTGAAAACAGCATCCAGATAAGTAGACTCCTACAAGATTAATAAGCAAGGAGGAAACCCTTGAGAGATACAGTAGCATGTAATAGTCAAGTATTTAATCAGGGTTACCAGTTCAACAATGTCTTTAAACAGCAAATTCTCTTTATCAATCTCTTTCGGACTAACCACAACTCTTGACTGCAATACCTACAGTGTTTTTCATAAACAGTGTCTTTAATTTCAGGGTATGCATATGCATCAAAATGTCAGTCTGGGATGCTTGAAAACAGACTGTGCACTGCTCATATGTGTAGTATGCTGAAAATCAGCTGGCTGGCTAAATCAGATGTGTCAGGATGCTTAGTACCTGCTAGTATCAATGCACAGCCATGTCTACCAACAGTAGTGTCTGTGTATTAATTTTGGCATTAAAACTGAGCAATAAGGTAACTTAACACATGCAGAAACTTAAAATACTTAAAAAAAAATCCTTAAATGGTGGCTTGGCTTTAAATATGTCCCACTTACATCTGCAATGCAGAAACATCTTAATCATTACTGCTATTTAATAGGCACATTTATTAATTTTAAAGTAATTTGCGCACAAGAAAGAATTTCATTAAACACAAGTGACTTAGTTACAAGAATTCTCCAACAGCAAGAAAAAGGTGAGCAAAGGCTCTCATTCACTGAAAGAACAGATTCAGACTTATTCAAAAAGGCTACAGCACAAGATATAAGTTATGCCTACTTGAACATGTAAGCAAAAAGCTGTTTTAAAAAAAATCCATTATTATTTCTTCTTAGCAACTGCAGCTCTACATAGTTTAACTAGCTTTCCAAAATATTATTCATAGCTTTCTTAAAACCAACAAACTAACAGGAGACTCTCATCTAGCAAACAGAATTAGCAGAGGAAGCTTCAAAAAATTTCTACCAAGATGCAACACTTTGAAAATTAAATATTGTCTGGTATCCAACATGCAACTCTGAATATTGCTTAATCTCATCTAGATACTGCTTCAAAGTAAGATTAATCTATTGGTCAGCATTGTGATGGGATCTTGGATATGCATTCCCCACTAGGAGTTGGGAGAACTGCTAATAAATAAAAATGAGCCAAGCTTTTTAGCTGCCAAGATGCCTCCTCAGCTTCCAAAACCTTGCAGCCAAACTAGAAAGTCCAAAGATGACAGCTATCACCTTCTGTTTCAGTACTGTGACCACTTTGTTGGATTTACACAGTAGATACATGCAACAAGGATCAACACAACCAACTTCTTTTGGAATACTACTGACTACTGCTATGATTCGCTTTAGAAATTTAGGTATATTGTTGATACTACATAAAATTGTATATCACTTAATAGCTGAAATTCAGTTTTATTATTCACCTTTATTTCTCACTGAAATACACTGCCTAGGTCTTATACACACTCTACAGCACGTAGCAGGTTAGCCTTAGCAAGCAAGTGCCAAGCAGCCTTTGGAAGAACACAGCCGTGAGGGACTATTTGAGCAGATCACTGAAGTGGTTGGGCAGTTGGACTAGATGACTGTGGCAGGTCCATCCAACTGAAATACTCCATTACATTTTAAAGTGTTGGTTCACAAGGTGAAAGGGACCCTCCCGTAGCAGTAATCAAGGTGCCACTGAGCAAGGGCAGCGCTGACTGACGATGCAGAACAGGGCTTGCACAGTCCCAGCAAGCTGACACAGCACAGGCAGAAGTAGATAGGAGTGCTACAGGAATTTATAAAGCATACTGAATTAACTGAGCTTAAGGTGAGTCTTTCTGGTTCAAGGACTTAGTTCATGACTGACTGGACCCTGTTAAAAAAAAAGTGCCCCTGAGATAGTCAGGTGAATACTACTTCAGCTATTTCAGATCTGGGTTTAGTATTCACACACTGCTAGAAGTCAAAGATTTCCTTTGAAGAAAAAGAGTGGTCAGACTATATAGCCCTATAGCATCTGAAACCCATAAAGATTAAAGCTCTCCACCTTCACATCATGTCTTACTTTCAGAATTTTTAACTGACTTTTTAAACCAAAAGAACCACTATTCTGATGCTAATTTAAACCAGGCTTTCAAAAACTACACATTCAAAGGTTATGAACACTTAGGATTTACAACTGTTAAGCAGTTTGGGCTGCTCTTCTGTTCCAATTTTACTGGCATCAAAACCGCCATTACTGAACTCTTCAGCATGGATCCAAGTAAATATCCTTTTCACATTAAACAAAGCCAGGCACCCAAGCCAATTTGCAAGTGATACTGAAAATGGACCAGCAAAATAGAATTTAAGCAGCTACAGCATAAGTGATGTTAGAAGTTTTGATGCTAGAGGTTTTGGTGCATACTGACAGCAAACAAACTATGACTTCTGCTTTTAAACGTCTACATTCCTCGAGTGCTTACTAAATACAGAACTTTTAGTTATTACACAGATCCAAAAAGGCTGCAAGAGAAGCTTACCTGTGTAAGATCAGGGATATCACCTTTGTCAATTCCAACTTGCTGTGGATATAAAAGAGGTAAAATGTAAGTGCGTTATCCCACCACAGCAGGCACTAATTTTGACCAGAACTGTGGTACGTTCTTCAACCTATAAAGCACTTTGTAGTCTTTTTCTAAAGACAAAGTTTGCAAGAGCAGATGCCCATCTTTCCAGTAGCTATCTTCAACAACCCGCAGCAGTCTTTTTTTTCCTTTACAAATTAAGTGTCAAAAAAAAGGAGTTTGATTCCACCCAGGTTAAGTTCATACTCCATACTGCAAGTCAGGCAGGGCCTTCTGGTCATACACTGTTGTCTCAGAGGACAGCACTAGTGAACTGCCAGACACACACTATCCAGATATACCTGACTATCCTAATTAAGTTCTCTGAAACTCAGCCAGTGAGCAAATCCTAGAAGACACCACTTTAAAAAATGCTAAAGCTCAAGTCACTTGGTTCTTCCACCCTTCTCTCCTAGCATTTCAAATACAGTAAGATGAGGTCTACGTCCGTAATCCTCTACTAACTGTCCTGTTGTTCCACTATGGCTCTTCAAAGCGTCTGTTGGTTTAGCTTTCGCAGAAGAATGAGGTCCACTGCACCTGGTAATCCTGAAGTATAGTCACTATAATCCCTGACCCAAAGAGATGATCTATAGGTGTCTAAAGTACTTCATTCCCTCCAGTCCAACATTCATATCAGACAGTACATGCCATTCATGAGTCTAGCAAGCTTCTTCATAAACGGTTCAGTAAATTAGCAAAGAAAAACTTTTTATTCAGCTCATTACTGCTGTCCATTATAATGAAGCACGAAACATGGAAATGTGCATCTTGTGCCAAGGAGCCAGCTACCACAAATGAGAGCCCAGCAAAAAAGTTAATTAACCATGTAATATTTGTATTATCCACATAAGAGGATGATAACAAGAATCAAAACCAGGAAAATCTCACATTCCAGTTAATTTGTAGTTGGCTGCAGAGACTTGAAAAGCAGACTTATAAAATCATTATGCTTTTATTACCAATCGCTGTATCTCTCTCCAATGTTTGACCCTGTCCTAAAAGCATGCATTTATTACAGCATTTTCAAGAAATACTGATACAGTTGAAGTCATGTCACCTGCTACATTACCAGAAAAGCAGAGGCTGGCTGCACAACAGAGGCATGGGGAAGTCCTAACCAGGGCTTAGCTAGTTCAAGAAGAGCTGAAAAGCCATATCCAGGAACTTCTATACTGCCTCACAGCAAGTTAGATGCTTAGCAAGTGCAACTAATATTTTATACTACTGTTAAAAATTTCAGAACATACTTAATTGCCAGACTCCAGAAGACTGGAAGTCACTTACCTCTGCAACTTTAAGAAACTCTGATACTCTGGTCATTCGAGTAAGAAATCGTTTGTAGATTTCAAGAGCATCTTTACATTGTCCCTTTTTCATTTCAAAAAATTTCTCTAGAGAAATAATTTGGCAAATTTCAGTTAAGATATCTTACATTAGGTCTGCATTCATCAGCAAATCTAGTTTTCAGAAGAAAAAAAAAATCACATTTCAAGAATATTGCACTCCATTAACATTTTTCTTCTTGGACACTGATCAAATAGTGCTCCTAGTCCTTAGCAGACTTTAGAAATTCAGTTTGCTGAGACACTAAAGAATCAAACTGGAATATCACACCCCAAGCAGCCATAGCATTGTGTGTGACATAAACCAGGTTTTTAAAGGTAACTAGATCAAGTAGCTACCAAACTTAAAATTCAAAGTAATTAAGGATACTTAAATAAATATCAATATATGTCCTCTCCCAAGCTGTCTTCACTTCAAAGAAGAGTACTTTTTCCACTTGAGTAGCTCTCTAAAGCTGGTTTGTGTCCGTTATAAAGCACAATCGCCACATATTTCAACCTCAACTTATGCTTTAATTAGCAGTGGACAGTGATATCTCAATCCAGTTGTTATACCCAACATTTTTATCTGCTCCATAAGTTTTCCATGCCTCTTGTTTCAGTCAAAATACCAGGGACTTAATTTCATGAAACATCACCAGAAAGTGTTGCAACACGGATACAAAAAAACCTGTCCAAATTTCAGAATGTGCTCACAGCCTCCTACAGACTCTGCAGGCTGATGGCAGGTAAGGCTTTGGTAGGGATCTAGCTTTGGCAGTCATGTTTTCAGACAGATCGGGTATGGTATGCAGCAGAATATTACTTCATACAAGGCTACTACTTAGGATATGTAACAGAAGAATCTGGACTTCTTAAAAACACAGTCAAATAGCAAAAGTTGCTTTGCTAACCTTGCAGGCCTTATTAGGCAAACTCCCACAGCACTTTACATTTCTTTAGGCACAGAATTTTCCAGTGCCTTTAGAGTAGACTTCTGCACAATTTTAAAGGCACATGACAATCCAGCCTCAGATGAACACTAATTTAAGAGGGTATGGCTTTAACTTCTCTCATTTCAGAACAAACAGTCAAGAAAAATGTATTAAGCTTTAATGAAAGTTAAGTAAAAAAAACCTGAAGCCAACCTGAAATTCACTTTCCACTTGCTCATGGTAAGAGAGATATAAGTAAGGTTACTTACCTAGTAAGTTAATAACGCCATCATTGTAGCAAGCAAAAAGTTTGATAAGATCTTTAAACAGAAGCATGAATGCAGCATTTATGACACCATTTGTCAGTTCATTTGGATGAACCTACAAATAAAATACCAGTTATTTACAGATTTACTGAATGCAATCAGAAGTTTTAGCTTGCACCAGGTATCTGATGCTGTTATAGATACAAGCAAGCACTGAATACAAGCTTTCACACTAAGAAACCAAACAAAGGTTTCAGTTAGCAGATCAAATATTGCTTTCTGCACCGCTCCAATCCACTACAGCAGAAAAGTATTCCCATCAACAACAAATATCTTAGTCTTGACTCCTTCACCTCTCAAAAAGAGGAGGAAGGCAAAGATGCTATTAACAAAGCCTTAATAAACAGGACAAAAGATGTCAGTTCACAGCAGAGCTTAACAAAACCTCAGTAGTCTACCAGATAACACAGTTGGGTTAGCAATGTCAAGACCCCTCCAGTCCTCATGTTAACTTGGGCAGAAAATAAGTGCTCATTTAGTAAAAGATCTTTCTTTTATTAAAAAAACCTCTTCTTCTGAGACCACTGTCACAATTCCTATGTCATTTAAGTGACAAAAAACGCATTAGCAAGACATACTCCTAGGGCAAGTCCTTCTACCCATCAAGAACAGAACAACTTCAAGACTGATTCCTTCAAAGACCTCTTGGCAACATTACTCTGTACCTCCTACAACAACTGACTCCTGTTTTTACCCTTAAGGCAGATAAACAATTCCACCAGCATTCATAACATAATAAATACATTGCAGACACTTATTTCTATGAACAGTCTAGATTAGAGTTTAGCCAATTTAGTTTACAGCTGAAAACTGAAAGATTTTGAGGAAGCCAAACAATGTACATGTGGTATTTCAATGGCTTTTTTCCCACACCCCAAAAAGACACTGGTTGCCAAGAGACAGAAAAAAGATTATTCAGTCTCCCTGTTTTTCCATTGCTTCCCATCCTTGCTGTAGGAAATGAAGCTTTGAGCTCCGAGACAACATTCCTCAATGTCGCTCATTTCCTCTACGCTCTAAAAAAGTGCAACCTGCACATTTCATACATATAGGAAAGGGCCATCCTTCACCTCGCTACCTCAGTGGGATACTGAAAAGGGGGTTTTCAGCCCACATGATGGGATGATCAGTAAAGCATTACCTACAAGGTGAAATGTGTTCATTTCAACACAGCATTTATAAGTCACTGCCCAATGTTAATGCTGGGTGATCTTCAATACATACATCGAATTCAAGTAGTGCATCAATTTGTTCCTGTAATATTGGCATACTCTTCAGCAGCTTTTCAGGAGCCATTGTTCTCATTACACCGTCAGCTCTGCAAGAGGGAATACAGATTAGAAGCCATGGCGTTTCCCCTCTCCCCTCCCATAAAGTGATTTGTTGTCTAAATTTAAGCTTAAAGCAGCTATAATCCATTTCAAACGTTTGGAGCAGTGATTCTCCTGCTTCTCACATCTTCTAAGTACTTAGAGAGCTGATAGTCTCTGTGCATTAATTTTGTTATGGATAGCTAATGACAACTCATTGTTGATGTCTCTGTGGTCACTGAAGACAAAACTCTACAGGTTGGGTTTTTCCCCATCAGTCTCACAATATATGCATGCCAATTCAGTGGCAATCTCAATCAGGGCAATCTTTGCTTTGAATGTCTTTCCTCAGTATTGCTGGGTACTAATTAATTCCATTACTTCTTCATAGCCCTTCCACAGATTTTGATCTGCTTTACCAGTCCTGAACCATTACTCCAAAGGGATCAGACAGCAGTCAGAGATGTGTAGCATTCCTTAATTGCCACCCACAGTCTTACAGCACTCTTCACACACACCTATTTTTCTCTCTGAATATCACAAATCTGCACAACCACCACTATGTATTGCCCCATTCTGGCCACCAACAGGTATAGCACCTCCTCTCTGGAAATGCATTACTTATTTTGTGCTATACTCTGAGGCAGCACCTTGTTTTGAGCACCAGAAATAACACACAAAGAAAGCCTTCCCAGGAATATATAGCAAGGCAGTCATCGAAGGATTCCCAAAACCCCAAAGTTAAAATTATTTAACATGAAGTGTTTGAAGGCACTTGAGTGACAAAGGAAACTTAAGATGCTAGCAGCTACAGTAGCCTGCTGGATCAAAGCCTGACTAACTATCAATCCAACCAGCCACCAGTCTTCATATCAAAAGCTTCTTAGGGATTCATATTCCTGACAGGTTCAAGAGATAATTACTCTGGTCCCCCCTATGGGAATGGCATCCAGCTACACAGCAAAGCTGCCACAGTAGGCCCTACACATTTAGGCAGTTTGAGAAGCGGGAGACGAAGGGCCTGGCAGCGATGCCTGCATTAACCACTCAGAATCCCACACTGCAGAGTACACCAGAGGTGCCAGAAGGATCCCGTACACAACTCGTGATTAGCAGGAGCGTGCAGTTAACTAAGCTGCACCTTCAGTGGGTGTTAAGCCACTTGCTGTGTTGTCTGTGCTTGAAGAGAGAACTTAGAGTCATTAAGTTCCACTTAGAGGAGTCAGAGACCAAAAAAATGTTCTGGTAAATACCAACACACTAGTCTGGGCTGGGTTAACTTTTTTTAACACACTTCTTGTGGGAAATAAAATCAGTTGTTTACAACTTAATTCTGTTCAGTTTATAACTGTTTGCTGGGCTGTCTGCTAAGAACTTTACATTTTCACTTCCCTTTGTCATCTTTCTTACAGAAAGTGTCTGGAGAGTAATGAAACACCCTAAAAATCAGAGCATTTCCTTCTCCAAATCCTAAACACAGTCTTGCTGACACACAATTTAATAAAAGTCAGATTAAACACCTAGCACTAAAAGCTCTCAGTTCTTCAAGGCACCTTAGTCTTCAGTATTTGCTTTACTACCCAGAGTCTTTCCTCTTCTCCTTGTGCAACTTTAACCAACTAGAAATCCTTAAGAAACCAAATCATTTTGGTGTTTCATGGTGGCTAAACAAAGGACAGAAGAACAAAGTCACTGAGACACTGAGACCCATCTTCATGGGTCAGGCAACCCTACCAGTTTACATAGCTAAACTTTGCTTACCCTTTCTTCACTCTTGCAAAGTCAAATGCCATTTGTCTGTAGGAAAATGCTTTTTCATTCAAGTATCTACTATAACGCCTTATAAAGGTGGACATGTCATACCCTGCAAAAAAAGTTACACATTTTACATTTCATTTTCATGCTTATTTGGAGGTTTTTTAGTAAACGATAACATACAGTCAATAGACCCCAAGGTTATGTCATCTCTGTTGCACCCTGCAACTCCACATACAAAACAGGCATCATCGGACACATTCCAGCTTCTGAAGAAAAAGCAGTAGTGCTGCACCAAGACAATCTACTGCTGTCCTCCACTTCAACAGATTCACCCAATGCACCAATAGCATAGTTCCTGGGGAAACCTGACAGTGGCTCCTACGTAGTTTTGTGGTAATGTTACTTGATGGCAAAATTAGTTACCCCCTATTAATGGGGAAAAAATGTCAATTTAACAAAGTTTTTACTTAACTGGTGCATGACTTCTAGGATCAAGATGGATTTCAACATTCCCACTATTTCACGTATGTCAGTCCCTCCAACTCTTACACAGACCTTCAAAATTGCCCTGACTAGGTTTACCAGAACAGAGACATTATGAAGGCATCCACAGAGATTAGTGCCTTCTTTGAACTGTTACACCAGAGATCTTCAAGGCACATAATACTGTACAGGCAGTATTCAAACTTCGGTGACCTTCAAGCCTGTAAGGCTTCTGAACAGTTCGTATTACAGTCCGTCCTTCAGGTATTTCTTTCAAAGCTTCTTCCTCCACAGAAATGTGTCCAGAAGGCAACTCATCCTCCTCTTCAGTACAAGTCCCTTTTTGCTGTCTTTGTTAAAATCCACACCCTTTGACTTAGTCATTGACTGTATTTTTCCTTAAGATCTCTCAACATTAAGTATCTCTGCCAACTCAGGCTTAACACTACCAACTCTGATGCCTCATTATCTATGACACACTGTTGTATTATCTTTCAACATGCATAGCATGTTTTGCTCAGACAAACACAGTTTTAATATTTGTTTGGCTTTGTTCCTGCTCTGTGTTATCATTTCTAAAAGATGCTCGAGTCTTTTTGGTGATGCATATCTCCATCAAGAGATGGAATAACAGAGCACTGCTTCCAGCTTGCCCACTATTCAAACATTCTGTATACACTCTACAAGCATTATATGATAGCTGCAGAGTTTTCTCTCTTCTCCAGTGGAGCTACCATGAAACAAGCTTTTCTTCTGTTAAGTGAGGGAATAGGAAAAATTCACTAAATTCCACTCAAAAGCAAAAAAGCAGACTTTGCAAACATTAGTTGAAACAAAGTCCTTAATTTCAACCTAGACCTTTCCAAATTCACTACTCAAATCAAAACCAGTTAGTTCTTTTGGTCCTGCAGCCCCACGCCCTCAATTAAACACTTAGACAATTCCTAGAAAGTACAATGTCCCCAAGCAACCAAATTACTATTTAAGACTGAGTAAAAATAAAAAATCATGTGGGAAATTATCCATTCCATCCTTAACTCCCACAACAGTTAAGGAGATAGCTGATCCAGCCCAGATTTCAACCAGCACTTTAAGAGAGTTGTACAGCTTCACCTTTTGAGTAAAAATTTTGCAGGAACTGAAGTTGTCCAGCAGCTCATTCAAGCTCCTGTATTCATTAAAGTACTTATAAACAAGCTTCAGTAGCACATTTTTATATTATTCACATCTTACAAATGAAGGAGAAATTAACAACAGCCTCTTACTTAGAAACTTGTTAAGATTATAGACATGAGTAGGCTTACCATGAGATCCACTTTTGTCCAGAAAATTGCTGAGGTTGAACAACGTGTTTCTAGATGCCAGGTACTGAATAAATCTCTGCAACACAAAGTTATTTTCTTATCACAGGTTGTATCTGAATGCTTTCTACCTCCTAGCTGGAAAATTGTCAGTCTAGGTCTAGCATACACACATACAGATTTTTGTTTTAGTCTGCATTACCTTCCTCAAAACCTCTCTTATCCATTTAGATTAATTACATTTAGACTGAATCTCCACTAAACATCCTACTGTACGCATGAAAAATAGATTTTCTGCAAAATACAAACCAGATTCTGGAAGGAGCAATAAAAATGGATTTGAAGAAGTACAAGATTTATCTGCTCACAAAGTAGCATATCCAGGCTACTCCCAGAATTTTCAATCCAGCAGACCCCCATTTCAGCCAAGCTGAGGGCCTGTTTTAATAACAAGCAGGCCCCACATCAAGCACAGGGAGTAACAGCCTGACACAGTTACAAAAAGCAATTCAGAATATTGGCCAAAACTTGGAATGGAAAAATAGGACACCAATAAAAATTTACAGTGACATTGGAGAAGTTCATTGCATGAAAACACTTTATATACAGCCAGGGAGGAATGGTTTCACAGTTATACTAAAGCTCTAAGTATGCTTTTTGTTTTGATGTAGACTTACCAGTCTATACAGGTCAATAAAAAGCAAGGGCAAAGAAAACGCAGTCCAAAAGGCTATCAGGTTGAATTCACAGCTCTATGAAGATTTTAGTACTCACACAGAGAAGGCAGCTATTTGGATGTCAGTACACACGTGCCAGAACAGCAGTTTGACTCTAGACAAAAATTCCCAGGTAGCCTTTAATCCTGGGTAGCTCTGTTTTCCGATAGCACATAAATTGTCAGCATCCTGGAACAGGCTGCTGCTTGCTCTTACGCTATGATTTCATAAATGAAGAGACAGATACACCGCAGGCCTCCAACTATGTTGCTAAAGGTAAGTTTGCTCCTCATCAACAATCATTAATTTGTTCTCAGCTCCTTACTGGTTCAGAGGAGATGCCTTTGCACTATGAGTGATTTTGGCTTGGAGTTTGCTCAGTGCCAATGCAGTCTCCAGAGAAAGCTGATCACACTCACCTCATTGCCATGAACCATTAGATGATGTGTGGTGACTAAGGCTTTGAATACGACCACCCAGCTACTATTTGTTGCTCGCTCAAAAAGCGTATCAGCCATCTGAGGAATATTCACATTTGTTTCATTAGTTGCTTGGATCAAGTCTGTAAGATGGAGAAAAGGAAGGTGTTAGGTGCTACAAATAAGACAAATACATTTGCAGTGTGGCCAAGCTCTCAGTCCACCAGGCTGCTGGCCACGGTTGTGGCAAACAGCAAGATCAGTGCTTACATTCTACCCTTAAAAAAAACAAAACAAAACCCAAAAGACATCAGAAAACCACACACTAAAAAGCCCCCAAACAAGCAAAAAGAACCCCAAAACCAAGCTTATTATTTATTAGTACATGCTAACAGTAACACTAGTCTGACTCTTTCGTCCAACAGTGCTAGCTTTCCAACATTTCTGTCCTACATCCCAACCTTTCTCCATCTTCACCCCAGATGAAGTTGGGGTGCACATCACCACATGACTTGAGTGCCTGCAGGTTTAAGTCAGTTGTGGCAGTTCGCTACCTCTGGGTTAGATGAGTAAGTATTACTGAATTCTCCACCTACAGGTACAGCATCAAGCACACTGAACGCAGACACATAAGGAAAAGGAAGTATTGCCAGAAACAGATACTCCAGTCATCTCAGAAGTTAGAGTTTCATCAGCGTGCTACAGCACACCTCCTGGAGTCCCTACTAAGCTACACAGCAGAAGAGTGCACTCAGTCATGCATTAAGACCTCTTCAACAGCAGGAAAGAATGCAAGAATAGATGTTAGTTTATACTGAAGAATTACAGTCTTCTGCAAGCAACTACATCTTACAGACAAAAAAAAATAAGACATTAGACTGTCTTAGAGAACAAGACTGAAATACGGCTTTGTGCCCTGTACATTAGGAAGCTGTAGACTTGCACAGGAGAGTATCTGAAATTAGGATAAGTACTTAAACAGTAGGGCAGTAACAAACTTTCCTCTAGCATCTATATGTCACATCTACTGATAGCATCTTTGATTTACCACACCACCTATTACCTCCAGGCTCTTGCTAGGCTGCCAGCAATGACCTTCTACAGGCTATTACCTATTTTCGAGACACAGTTGGAAACCACATACTGCAGCTGCATGACCAAAACCCAGACAGTCCTAGCAAGACTTCAGGAGATGACTTCATGCAACAGAAAGGGCACAGAATAGAGACCTAATTGTAGGGCTGAGGCTTAAAGTTTGAAGACCTAACTAGAAAAAGTTAAAAATTAAAAAGTTTAACTACTAGACTAAGCATTATCTGTGTTCCTAATGAAAATACTCATTTTTACTTTCCCTGAAAGGACAGTAATCATTGTTAATGATTTTCCACATACTTCTTCTCCCTCCACCCCCAGACTAGAAGCATTCGTCCAACTATTCAAGTCATTCAGTGATGACCAATACCCTACCCTAGATATTCTGTGACTGACCATGCACACCTAATCTATGCCAGTCTGCTGCAAACACTCCACAGGAGTTCAGTTCACCTGGGCAGCAGGGTCACCACTCACACCCTCCATCCCCAGCACAATCCATATATTGGAGGGCATTAATGCTGCTAAGAGCAGAAAGCCAAGGTTCAGGCTGCTGTGAAACCATGGATTCTGCCTCTCCAGAGCAGGAAAAGCCCAGAGGACAGGTCTGTCTAAACAGACCGATGAGTTGCATCAGCTACTGAGATCCACCTGGTGTGTTCAGAAACACACACTGCTGTATCAGAAGCATTCAGAAGTCTGGTATTCTTTTTAAATTCACAGCAAGTGATTTTTTCAATGGTTTTTTAATTCTACTAAACAGACACATTCAAGACACAAATCTATAGCTCAGAGTCAGAAGACTGTGAAAAGTGCAGTGCTTGTGGTTAAAATTGTCTTTTGTATGGGCAAAAGAGCTGCAAATCTGCTTCAGTTTCAGGTCAGTGGCATGACTTTCTGTAATGAGACAAAAGATAAAAATTATGTGATCTGTTTGCCAAGTTTGATTCTAAAATATTTGTTGTCAAGGTGTTTTTTGTTTTGGTTGTACAGAGTGTTACGGTTGTTTTTTTCATAACACCTTCTGAAATATAAAATTAACTTCTATAACATCAGTAACACTACCCTTGAGGGAGACAGTTCTGCAAATGAAGAATTACAGTAAAAGCCATGGTATTGAATGACAGCAGCTCAAGCTCACAGCTCCGACAGATTTCCTTGATCCTGTTGTACAAACCGGCCGATAAACTTCTATTCTGCACTGCTGACTAATGCATTATAGAGGACAGTGGTTTGTAAAAGCCTAGAAGCAAGACAAGTGGTTTGCTCACCGTTTACCCCATTCAGAGGTTTTACTGCAGATGACAGCATTTGTCCTTAGTATAAGGAAACATCAAATTTGCAAGCTTTCAGTCCTAAGTTTCAGCACATAGCTCACAATGGAAAAGAGGTGCAATAAATTGTGGATTCCATTGGTGGATGTTAGATAAACTATACACTGCTGCAGCTCTTCTGCTAAAGTCACTCGGTCATTTCTGCTGGAGGGTACGGCATCTTGGTCTGCAGCTCTGAACATTTTAGGACATGAGTAATTATAGTGTGCTGAGTAGAGAGGTATGATTAAATTTTAGCCTACTACTTTCAGCGCACAGAAAGAATTAAACCTTTGATGAAGACTTTAACTCATCATCTCAAGGGGAAGACCAAAAGAAAAAAGAGATGAGTGGTTAATTTTTGCAGAGCTGTTTCCCATTAAGTCACACCACAAAGTTAAGGAATTCAAGCTTCCTTGATTTCTTTCCCCAATACCATAAAGTTTCAGCTTAACCAGCAGTCAATCAGCATCTGGAGCAACGCAGAAACATCGGAAACTTTAACAAATTGAGCAGCTGAGTTTGGTGGCTAAGCTGAATTTTAAAATAAGACTTGGCAAACTTAATTTGTGTTCAGTGTGGTAGGGAATAATAGGTACAAGGAAAAAGAAAACACATACTAGAAAATTTAGAAACTACATTTTCAAAAGATACAAACTCAGACATTTATACTGGTGGGACAGAAACTCAGTTTTCAAAAGAGACAATGAAGTTCAGAGCCTTCAAGGCAAATCACAGGTGCATTCATTAATACAAAATAGATCATATTAAGAAGTACTGACTGAAGCAGAGTCCATCAGAAGCCATATAAAGCAATCTTACAAAGGTGATCCTGTTAGGGTACACAGAATTAGTAGAAACAAGGATTAAAGGAACCCTCCTGATGAAGTTTCTGCTACTGCAGCCAACCACACCAAGTGCAGTGTCAGCAAATCCCCAAACCCAGAAAATGAGCTCAAATACAAACTCCAAGCAGAGTAACTAACTGGGAACGGTACAGCAACAGCAGCCAGTGCTTTCATTGCGACTTTCACACAAGTGGAGAAGTTGAGAATGAATACCTATACCCTCCATTTGAATCTGTTTTACTGTGGGACTAAGTTATAATTGCCAAATCACAGTACACGATGTCTCCTATTTCCTCTCTTCACATCTTGCTAGCTGCTATTTTGAACATTCCTTCAGTCTAGAGATCCTTGTTGAAATTATGCATTTAATTTCGACTTGAATATACTTTCTCTAGTTAAGTCTGCAGATGCAAAACCTATGCACATAGAAGTTATAAATGGCCCTCAATTCTCTGACTCTAAAGTAAAACTAAACACCAGCCTTTAAACTCTTCGACTTGCCAATTTTTTGACTCAGCCTTAAGACATTTGCAACTTATTCAGGAAAGAGAAGCAAGGCTAAAGTGTGATTAATACCTTCATTAATAAGAAAAGATGATCTGCCAAACTGAGGAAGATCCATAGAGGGTTCAGTGAGGAAGAGCAAAGTAAGCTAAGACACCTTAGCTCTTCATGAGCTTTTAAAAAGACCATTAAAAGATGTAACTAATGTGTGTCTGTTAGGCTCATAAGATAAAAAAGAGAATAGTGAAAAAGTTTCACTGTCTTCAGAATGTGACTTCGAGCTTATTAAAAACTACTTCCTGATTTTCAGATTTATTTTTTTTTTTAATGAGAGAGATTCTACAACGTTTTAAATAACATATCTTTACCTTTACCTTTTCAGATTGTATTCTGGATGGGGCAGGGGTTTTTTCTAGTTTGGTTTTGTTGGAGTTCTTTTACTCAATTGTTCAATAGACAGACCTGGGATTCCCCAGTTCAAAGTTAATTATTCACAATTTACATTTCAGTATGCAGAGAAACAGCAGCAGAGCACAAGACCTCTCTGTTCAGAGGGATATTGGTGCCAACCTAAGAGCAGATGTCATTCCAGGTTGAATTAACACACGAGCTGCTTCAGCATCTGAGCTGTGTCATACATTCAGTTCCTCAACTTTGCCAAGGCTCTCAGAGTAACCCCTTACAGACCTTCCTTCAGTTTACACTGAAGGCTACAATAGTCTTCAAAAGTTATTTTTCTAGTTTATAAATATTTAAATAACACCTTGAACCTACCAAAAAGGAAATGTAAGACTGTTCCAAATCCGGGCTAGTCAAGAACAGCAAGAAGTGGCTTAGAGTAAGAGTGTAAAAGCCTCAACCAAAAAAGTTAAATAAGCAAGTAAGAGTAGAAGTCCTCCCTTGCAAGGCACAGAACTGTATCAGGAAGCTACTACGCTGTTGTGCTAACCAATGCAAGAGCTGAACTTGCAGGTCTACAGAAGACTGATCACAAAACAGCGCTGCAAAACAGAACAAAGGCATCGGTTTCTGCTTCTACAATAATTGCTTACATGAACATTAGGTGATTTTAAAGTTTTTGGCTTGGACTATCAAGCAATTCCACAAACAAGAGTAGGGAATCTATCTGTGGGGTTAATGTTCACCATCTACTCTTTTCACCCCCAGCTTGCCTTGTCTCCACAAACTTGCATCATAATCTAGTTTATAACGACCTCTCCAATCAGAACAGCAATTTGTGCCATCTCCTTCTTCCTCCCCAAAAGCCTACCTGAAGAGTTACATCTCATCTTGACTCCATCAAGTCTACCCTTTATCAAAAGTCCAGCATCTTCCCAGATATTGCCTATGCACTTTCATGCCTATGCCAGCTCAACAAGCCTAAAC